TTATGGCTGCTCTCAGTCCCATTCCCAGAGGCTCTGCTTCTCAGAATCCCAGCAACCACTGCAAACCTCGGAGAGAAAGCTGCCCTCGCGTTCCGGCGTTTCGATCGATGCCAGACAGTCCCGCTTCTCCCGTTTGAGTCTGGGTCCTTAGAGACTCGCCCGGATCTGGAGCTCAGAGCCTGGGACTCCCTCCCGATTGAAAACGACAACTGCGCCCTCAGCCACCAGCCCGCTCCACGCGCACCTCCGTACCTTTGTATTTTCCACACTGCGCCTCCTCTGAGCCTCGGTATGCTGTTCTCTTTCCTTCTAGTTGAAGAATCTCTCCTCAGCCAGCCTTCCTGTGGTTCTGGGTGATGTCCGTTCCGTCTTTTAGTTGTATTTTTGAAGTGGTTGTGCAAGGCAGCAATCTCTGGTGTTTACCTATGCCGCCATCTTGGTTTCTCCCCGCACTTTTCCTCTTAATAGGAGAAGCCATAGAGCCATATGACAAGAGGGTGTGGATATAGGAAGGTATAAAGAATTGGGACCTTAGCCCTAGCTGGTTTGGCTCAGTGGATAGAGTATCAGCCTGCAGACCGAAGGGTCCATGGTTCGATTCCTGTCAAGGGCACGTACCAGTGTTGCAGGCACACCCTGACAAGGGCCAGGGTTGTGCAACCAATCAGTGTACCTCTCTCACATTGATGTTTCTCTCTCTTTGTCTCTCCTCCTCCCTTTCTCTCTCTAAAAAAAATAAAAAAATATTTTTAAAAAATAATTGGGACCTTTGATGCAATTTGTCCACATGCTCAAAGACAGGTTCCTCTTTGCTTTCCTACAAACACTGCTTAGCCCTTGTCAGGGTGTGCCTGCAACACTGGTACGTGCCCTTGACAGGAATCTGCCACAACAGTGAGAAGCTCAGGAGATACTTGTTGAATGAACTTTTGAACAAATGAATGAAGCAGAACCAGGGTTTGCTTGCGAAAAGACTCCGGTGTAGGATTCTGCTGCAATAACCCTATGTTGTATGCAGATGTGTCCATCACCTACTGCTTTGCAACAAATGACCCCAAAACACAGTGTCTTAAAACATCAGCCATTGGTTTCGCTCAGGCCTCCGTGGGCTGGCCAGGCGGTCTCAGTGGGATGGCACCCCTCTGCTCCATGTGACATCGGTGGGCGAGCCCTGTGGCTGCAGTTCGAACGTAAGGATCTAGAATCCACATCACTGGCCCCTCTGCTGGGATTGCTGGGGCAAAATGCCTATCTCCTTCATGATCTTCCAGTGTCCAAGGCCCCTCTCTCTACATCATTCCTCCAGCAGGGCAGGTAGACTTTTTTTTTTTTTTACCGGCCATCTCAGGGTCCGAGGAGAACGAAATCAGAAGGCAGGGGCTCCTGAGGCAAAAACTTGAAAGCTGCCCAACATCATTTCTGAGCAACATCATCTCTGTGGTCAGAGAACATCACACACGTAGCCTAGATTCCACGGGAGGAGACATCGACTCCGCATCGTGGTGAGAGCAGTGGCAGAGTTACACTGGGGCAGGTGGGATGAGAGGGATTCTGCCACAACAGTGAGAAGCTCAGGAGATACTTGTTGAATGAACTTTTGAACAAATGAATGAAGCAGAACCAGGGTTTGCTTGCGAAAAGACTCCGGTGTAGGATTCTGCTGCAATAAAATTCTGACGCCGCCATCTCTCTGCTTCCCAGTTGTCTGCAGTTTTGTCTGATGAAGACTCAGATGATCGATTTCCCCAGATCCGTTGGCATCAAACAGCAGACGTTGGCTATGTCCCCAACCAAAGGATGCCCAACACTTTCATGGCTGTAGCTATGGACCTCGGTGACAGGACCTCGCCTTTCGGCAGGTATGGGTGCCTCTTGGGCTTTGTTTGAATAATCATATGTTCCTTATCTGTGGCCTTCACTGTGATGTTCACTTGTGAGAGGAGAGAGAGTAGATGGCCTAAGGATTGGACCCTAGAAGCATTCTCTAGAGCAGCGGTTCTCAACCTGTGGGTCGTGACCCCTTTGGGGGTCGAACGACCCTTTCACAGGGGTCGCCTAAGACCATCGGAAAACACATATATAATTACATATTGTTTTTGTGATTAATCACTATGCTTTAATTATGTTCAATTTGTAACAATGAAATTGGGGGTCACCACCACATGAGGAACTGTATGAAAGGGTCGCGGCATTAGGAAGGTTGAGAACCACTGCTCTAGAGTCATTTACACTGGGATGTGCTGTAGTAATAAAAAAAAGAACCCTCAACATCTCAGTGCTTTGATGCAACAAAAATGTATTTCTTGTTCACGCTCCATGTCCAAAGGTCAGCAGAGAGGCTTTGCCATCGTGGTCGTCCACAGATCCAGAGAAACAGGCCCCGCGTCAATCTGTCCCTCCACGGTCACCTTAAAGTCCCACACGGGCAATTAAGTGCTCTCCCTGGAAGCAACACAAGACCCTGCTGCCCACGTCACATTGTCCACCTGCAGTCGCGTGGCCATGCCCAGCTTCAGGGAGAGGGAAGCGTGATTCTGCCACGGCCTCAGAGGAGGAGCAGTGGAGTGTTTGGGAGTCGCCCCGACGACCACCACATGATAGCACAGGATACAAGGGGGTTTCAATGCAGCCCAACGCACAGTGTCTGGATTATCGTAGGAGCTTGAACTAGTATTTGTTTATTTTTTAATGAATGAATAGTTATTGAATGAACAGATAAACCCTGGAGGGGACCAAGTAATGAATAGATGGTTCAGATGAAACACAGGCTCTGTTGTTTGGAATAGTCTTATGAGTTAGCTCTCCTTGGTTAGTTCTAGTACCTTCCCTCCCTCCTTCTCTCCCTCTCTCCCTCCCTTCCTCCCTCCCTCTCTCTCTCCTTCCCTCCCTCCCGCCCATCTCTCCCTCCTTTTATTTCTTCCTTCCAAGTCATCTGTTATTCAAGGTTTCCAGCCCATAGACGGCCCAGAGCCCCAGCTGTGATTACCACTCACCATTTCTCTTAAGCTGACCAGCCACTGGCTATTAGTCTCAGCCAGCTTTATTCTCACCTTCTGGGGGTGCTTTGTAATTTCCTTTTTTTAAAAACTGGTTATTGCCCTAGCTGGTTTGGCTCAGTGGATGGAGCATCAGCCTGCGGACTGAAGGGTCCTGGGTTCAATCCCGGTCAAGGGCACATGCCTGGGTTGTGGGCTTGATCCCCAGTAGGGGGCATGCAGGAGGCAGCCAATCGATGATTCTCTCATCATTGATGTTTCTCTCTCTCTCCCTCTCCCTTCCTCTCTGAAATTAATAAAAGTACATTTTTTAAAAATCTGGTTATTATTGAGCTCAAACCCAAAGTTCCGTACTTGTGTTTTGTCCTGCAGCATCCACCCTCGAGATAAGCAGACCGTGGCCTACCGGCTGCACCTGGGGGCCCGAGCTGTGGCTTATGGGGAGAAGAAGGTGACCTTCCAGGGACCACTGCCTGCGAAGATAGAGCTCTTGGCCGACAAGGGGCTGCTCAGCCTCACGTACTCCCAGCAAATTGAGGTGCAGAGGCAGGACCACGAGATATTTGAGGTGAGAACAGCAGAAACAATGGGGGTTCCTCCTGAATAGGGATACACTATCAGGATTTCCCCACAGTGAGGCCCACCTCTTCAATTTAACGTAACTGCGAGGCAGGGCTTGCTTGGTGGGGGGCTGATTTATCTAAGAGGGGCAAATAAATAGCCCTTAATTATTTGCCTTGAGCGGCGATTTTCAGCCCTTTTCGTCTCATGGCACACCTCAGCTAATTACTAAAATCCTTATTTTCTTCCCAGTCTGACCAAAAAATAGGTCTGATTTTGATTGATTCACACCACATGGCTATTGTGTTGGCTGTTGTCATTTCTGCATTTGACAGTCTAAGCGAAAAGCGGTCAGTGCCCTGACTAATAGTCAGGTGTAGCATGCTTTAAGAATTCATGCGGCACACCGGTAGACAGTCGCTGGCTTAGAGGCAGTTTTGATAGACAGGACAATCAAGGAAGGGAAAACGAGTCCATATTTAAATGATACTCCTTTTGTATTTTCCCTCCAAAGCAGCCATCTTTGTTATGGGCAGGGCCTGCAGCTTTATTTGCAGGTTGCCTGTTGAAAGGATCCTTGCTCCAGAATATTCCCCTCGTCCTTAGATGTCTTTCATCCTAAATTCTGATATCCTTTTGAGTTTAGTGTCTCCTATAAGAGGCTTAAACCTGGTGATTTGGAGCTTGGTGTGAATTTGTATAATGAAAGTACTTTCTTCTAAAGATCATCCCACAGTGGCACTGGGGCTGTTGATTGAAGAGGTTCTTCTGTAGATGGAACATTTACATGAGTGTCTGGGAACCAAGAGGCCATTGCTAGGGTTGGGGGCATCCGGAAAGAGGGCACCAGAGGAGATGAAAGAGTATTTAAAACAACTTTAGTCACACAGGCGTTTATCCAGGGCAGCTTCTCCTCTGGAACCCGGTGCTTGGTCAGTGTTCATGCCACTTAGCTTCTGGGCCCTGGGTGTTAGGGGAATTCTAGCTCCCAGGGGGCTTCTGCATTCTGTCTCCACTTTCGTCAGTATCTGGCAGTCCGTCCATCATCTGGACCCAGAATCACAGTTGCGGTCAGAATGTAAGCTTGGGCACTGGATCATTTATCTTCCCTTCCCGGGATTGCTGAGTTAAGGCCTCATTATCCAAAGTTCCTTTGTGCCCTTCCCTCGTTCCTCAGCTCCGTGGCAGGGCCACAGGGAGCAGCAGCTTTACCACTTGTCAGGAGGGTGACCGCAAGGATGTTCGGGGAGGCTTCCCCAAATGCTGGATGTGATGGTGCTTCCCCATCTCCCTCCGTAGTTTATGCTTTGTTGGTTGAGTTATTTATTTCATCACATGAACATTTATTGTCAACCGGTGGCTGTAGTGACCAGACTGACTCAGATTTGCTCTGGTCGCTGTAGAAAGTGGGTTCGTGGCCCAAAGTGGCTTTCTCTCCCTACAGTCTGTCTCAAACAGCAGTTCCCAGCCTCGAGGAGCATCATTCTACCTGACCTGACCCTTCCTATTTATGACTCTCTCATTAGATCTCGTGTTGTGGTGACCATCAGTGCAAGTGGCTTCCAGCTCCCATGAACACTTACTCCACCCAGACCCTGGCCCTGAATATCAGTTCTTGTCCTGGCGCCGTGGCCGCTCTCCGCTATGCCTGGGCCACTTGGCCTTGCGAATACAAGTGGTGTCCCCTATACCACCCCGAGAGTTCCCTGCCAGCCCCTCCCTTCATTGCTTTTTATTGCAAACCAGATGCCTGGACATCACAGCAAGGCTGCGATGATTTAGTGCAGTAGGATCAGATCTTAGACATAAGTAAATGACAACAAAAAAAGTAGATTTAATTTTGATTCATTCACACCAATAGCTATTATTGTGTTGGCTGTTGGGTGATTTTTTTTTTTTTAATTTGACAATCTAAGGGAAAAGAGGTCAGTGCCATGACTAAATAGTCAGGTATTGCATGTTTTAAAAATTAGATTTGGGCATTTAGGAGTTTAAATGATGACAACTGTTGCTTTTAAAGGCAATTAACAGAAAAACTTCATTGGAGAGTTCCCACCCAGCCTGGGGCTGTCTGTATTCTGAGAGGAGCCAGGGCTGGTGAACAATGAAATGCCTGCCTTTTGTTCTCTAGTTGGGCTGGCGCCTGTATTGGACTCATGCCAACCTACAAGCAAATTGAACCTCAATGTCATTTACTTCTCATAACTGGGAGTGAAACATCCAGCTGGCCCACATGGCCTTGAAGTTTCTTCCAACCCTCGTTTCCTCAGTTCTGGGTGTAAGAGGACAAGGTGTTAGATGTTTCCCTCTAAGCCAAATACAGTTCTGCTCTTTCAGTTCCAATAATGATAATGTGGATGGTGAAAGCTAACAAAGCAGAACCATGTGTAGGCATTTGGGGAGGTGCTGAGGCCAGCCTTAGGAATGAAGAGAAAGGTGAATGAAGTGTGGTAGAGACGATGCTCAGGCTGCCAGTAACAGGTCCTGGGGATCACCAGCTTAGAAAGATGTGACATTGGAGGTCACTGAGGAGCAAGCAGGTCATTAGAGATCATTATAAATCTCAGGCCCTGGCCAGCATTGCTCAATGATCAGAGCGTCCGCCCATGAACCCAAGGGTCATTGGTTCGATTGTGGTCAAGGGCACATACCTGGGTTCCAGGTTCCCCGCCCCGATTGGGGCTTGTGCGGGAGGCAGCCAATTGATGTGGCTCTCTCACACGGATGTTTCTCTCCTCTCTCTCCCTCCCACCTCCCTTTCACTCGCTCTAAAATCATTGGAAAAAATATCCTCCAGTTAGGAGTAACAACAACAAAAAAATACATGTCAGGCTCTTTAAAGGTAAGAGTTTTAACTATAAAAACGATAATCCAGATGGAAGAAAAAAATGAGGCTGGAAGTGAAGCTACTTGATAAGTATTTAGAAAAATAATCCCATGGGACAAATGTGAAAGAGGGCTCTTGTGTGTACTGTTAAGAATCAGTGCTGTTTATTGGTTGATTAAAACCAGCTCACGGCTCTTGACAATTGTGTGTTGTCTATTAGAAGTTAGAAATGAAAGTGTAAGTCACATTGTTTGAAGGGATACAGGGTGAGAAATGCCTCATTAGGCAGTTTTGTCATGTGAACATGAGAGTGTACTTATACAAACCTAGATGGTGTAACCTTCTGCTCCTGGGCTACAAGCCCATACAGCATGTTACTGTACTACTGTAGGCAGTTTTAACACAGTGGTATTTGTGTATTTAAACATACGAGAGGTACAGTGACAAAATGGTATAAAGGATAAAAAATGGTACATCTGTCCAGGGCATTTACCTTGAAAGGAGCTTGCAGGACTGGAGTTGCTCCAGGTGCCAGTGAAGTAAGTGGTGAGTGAATGTGAAGGCCTGCCCTAGGACATTATGTGCACTACTGTAGACTTTATGAACACTGCACACGTAGGCTGCTCTAAATTAACATAAAATATTCTTCTTCAATAATAAATTAACCTTTGCCCTGATGGGTTTGGCTCAGTGGATAGAGCGTCAGCCTGTGGACTGAAGGGTCCCAGGTTCAATTCTAGTCAAGGGCATGTACCTTGGCTGCAGACACATCCCCAATAGGGGGTGTGCAGGAGGCAGCTGATCGATGTTTCTCTCTCATCAATGTTTCTGTCTATCCCTCTCCCTTCCTCTCTGTAAAAAAATCAGTAAAATATATTTTTTTAAAATAAAATTTAAAAAAAAATTAACCTTAGCTTACTGTAACTTTTTTACTTTATAAACTAGATAGTTAAGCTCAGGTTCCTTTCATCCCCAAACACCTACAGCACACAGTTTGAAAAATGAGGATTAGGAAGTGGATATGTTAATGAAGTCATATAAAATTTATTTTTGTTGAAAATTTTAAAAATTCCATGGGAACTCAGGTCATTTCTCAAATGAAATAACATTTTACTGTTTGAAAAATGAAATTTATAATCACTGTAGATGATTTGGGCGCTAATAAAAAGTATAAGTAAAAATTACCCCAAAATTCATCATTTGGAAACACTAATATTTTGGTGAATAGTCACTTGATTTGTTTGGGTCATATTTTACACACTAATTGGATATTATTTTTCATCTGTTTTTTACTTATTCTAACAAAATAATTTTCCTATGTAAATTGAATATAGATTTAGTGTGACATTTTGTGGAAATCCCATTTTAAAAAAATGTTATTGATTTTTTTGAGAGAAACATCTATCGGTTGCCTCCTGCATGCACCCCAACTGGGGACTGAACCCGCAACCTGGGTATGTGCCCTGACTGGGAATCGAACCTGCGACCTTTCGGTGCATAGGATGACTCTCAACCAACTGAGCCACAGAGGCCAGGGATGGGAGCCCCATTCTTTAAGTAATTCCCCATTAGTGGACAACCAATTTTTTTGTAATTTTCCACAGTATCACTAATACTGTGATAATTGTTACTTGCAAACATCACACCACACTTAATTTCCTTAGGGCCCTTAATGTGGAATAACAGGTTTAGGATAAATATATTTAAAATTTTGATACCAACAGCTTTATCTTCCCAAGGGATCAACAGTTTACATTCCCAACAAGGTATAGTCCCATTTTTTATCTCATTCTCATTGATATTGCACGTTGTCAAATCCAAAACATCCTTAACAATTCAGTAGATGAAAAGGTATTTTAAGTATAAGGCAGTATTTTTCAAGTTTTTAAAAATGATCCATAGGAAAAACATTTGATATTCCATGTATTCCCATACATGTGAATGCATGTGTGATATTTATATAAATACATGTATACACATCATAGTTGATACCAAAGTTTCAATCGATGCACATCTTGACTCCCTAAGTTTAAGAACAGCAAATGGGTTCTTTCTGTTCTTGGAAAGCTACAAAGTGAACACTCTTTAATAAGCATAAACTGCACACTTATTAAAAAAATGTCTTTCTTAAAATGAGCCTTTCTTTTAATATGTTTTACTCAAGCTATAATGGAATGGAAAGATAATTTCTGTATGATAAAAGCAGCCTATGTCACTTCTGTGTAAGTACAGATATGTTCAGGCAACTTACAAAAGAAAAAGTATTAAAACATTAACAGCTTTGAGTAAAACTCTACCCTCGATTTTCCATAATCCCAATTATAATACTTAATTCTTGGACTGTAAAAGCTATACAAAATATAAAGACTATAACTAAGAGTTGTAAAATTAATGTTACTTGCTTCTGATACTTTATAGTGACGTGTGTTGTGCTCTCAACACTGCTGGGCCCCTCCCTCTGCTGGCCAGATTCATTCCTCTAAAATTTGAATCCCATTTGCATTGTCCCCGGTTAGCAGTTATGAATTGTAGCGCAGTGACAATCCAGTTCTCACCACTCCTTCCCCAATCTTCTACTTCTGGGGTCCTTTTGTTCCTCCATTCCAGCCAGCTCTGGTACTAAGATGGATCCTCACTGGGATGCCCTCGCTGCCCATCCAGCCGACTGTTGTGGTCAGGATGAGGTGAGGTGGTGAGCCTCCACCTTAATGCCATAAGCAGGGTCCAGACAATTCAGTCGCACCGAGTGCAGAGTTATTGCATGGTTAATGAAATGACAGGGTGAGTCTGTTACGGAGCCTGTGAGCCAATTCCTAATCCTTTCTATATCTGTGTTACCATGCAGTTTCAATGTACTTAGTTAAAAGCACATTCTCCAATAAGAAATCACAAAGAGAATGTAGACAGTGTTAAAGATAACCTTTTGTTCCCCTCCAAGGGTATGTACATGTGAAGAAAGGGATGGAGTGTGCCTTGGGCTGGACTCTCCAGCTTGGGGATGAGCAGGACTTGATTTTGATGACACCGACACAAAAATAAAACAGCCATTTCCAGTGCAGGGGCTGGGACTTAACATGCCTTGAACTAGGATTAGAATCAAGGGTAGAAGGTTGTCGGGGTCTTACTCCTTTATGCGTCAGCAGCCATCTCTCACTCTGGTTAATAAGGGACTTAAGTTTACTCTACCTGAGGCAGAGCTAAGCAAAACAGATCATATCCTGATGACAAGATGAAAATAAGCAGAATTGTAAAGAGAAATTTATTACTAAAAATAAAGCAGGTGAAGTTTTTCTCAGGGAAAACTGTCACCATGGGAACCTCCACGACAAAATGTGTTAATTTAATCTCCACTTTTAAATTGCTGCCTCTTTCCATATATTTTAAGTTTTAGTTGAAGTTAAAATCATCATGATGAAAATGATGTGGTATCTGATCCCTTCTCGTTCAATCTGAAGACTGCGTCGGGCTGCACTGCGATGGAGACTTCAAGTGCTGTAGGTGATCATCTACCAAGGGTTCATCTGTCAGGAACATGGGTTGGTAAGACACAAAGGCTGTAGGCTGAAGATCTGGGAGGTCCAAGGATCCTGGGGGGAAAATTCCTTAAGTTTCAGTGTTGCCTAGAAATCTCAGGAGGCTGATCAGATACATATATGTTCCTTTAAATCCTTAACATCCTTGCATCTGTCAGCCCAATTTCATCCTTGTTGGATAAGATAGGACATTTACTTTTACTGTGGCTGAAATAGATTTAAGTGACTTGCCTAAGGTTATGTAGTATATTAGGCAAAGAGTGAGAATTTTAATTGTTTTCTTATTTCCAGTTCAAGCTCTCCCTATGATCCCAGTGCCAATCCCAATTGCTCCTTCCATTTATGGTAGGGAATCCATGGTACAGAGGCAGGACCAAGGCCTTGACCTGATCCCCTTTATCCCACTTGGAATCTTAGTCCTGCATCGTAAACCGTCCCCTGGAGTTCTGCTCAGGTCTTAACCTCAGT